ATGACAGTGATTAATTCGGCTTTATTTATTTATTTATTTATTTATTTATTTATTTATTTATTTATAAAGTTTATTTATTTTGAGAGAGTGTGTGTGAGTGAGCTGAGGAGCGGCAGAGAGAGAGGAAGAGAATCCCAGACAGGCTTTGTGCTGTCAGCTCAGGCCCAACACAGGGTTCAGCCTCATGAACCGTGAGATCATGACCTGAGTGGAGATCAAGAATTGGATGCTTAGCTGACTGAGCCATCCAAGTGGCCCTTATTCAGCTTTTAAGGAAAAAAAAAAATCAGGGAATTAAAAAGTACTACAAAGAGAAACAAAGTTACCTCAGTAATAGATATGACTGGTAGCAAGATGCTAGTGACATTAATGCTTTCTTTTACTGAGAGAAGCATTGGATTTGCACCCAATGTGCTATTTCCAGTTTCCTATTGAGCTGTGAAAAAGTCTTAAAATATCTTGAGACACTGTTGAACATGTCAGTGCTGTCTTGTGTTTCTCTTGTTTCTTGGAACAATCATATTCTCCCCGTGCAGTCTTTTTTCATTGTCTATATTTGTATTAACTTGTAGTGATCAAAAGAAGATCTATATTGGAGACGACAATCCTCTGACATTGATTGTTAAGGCTCAGAATCAAGGAGAAGGTGCCTATGAAGCTGAGCTCATCGTTTCCATCCCACCCCAGGCTGATTTCATCGGGGTTGTCCGTAATAGTGAAGTAAGCAAACTGCCTCTTTAAAAATCGAAATGCACTCATAGGTCTCATTAACATTAATAAGTTACTCCCCTATTTAGTGTAGTACGAGCTTAGCCATTCTACTTAAGGCTACATTGCTAGGCAATAGAGTGCCTGTCTTACATAATTCCTTTCAAGCCCAATACTTTGCATAAGGCACTGATAGGACATTTTTAGAATTGCTAGCGAAATACCTGAAACAAGGTTAGATAGATAAAGTGTCTAAAACTGTTCATCAAATAATTTGTTAGGGATAATAAGGTTATGTATCTAAATCCTCTAGAGATCCTTCAGAAACATCTTTACATTCGTCTGTGGCAGTTGTACACAATACCCACCCCCCATTTGCTCAAATGGATATATTTTTGAAACAAGAAACTTAACTATCCAATTGTATGATGTCATCTAGGAACTTCATAGTCTATGGCTTCTGCTTTTTTTGTTGTTTGTTTTGGTCATTAATTTATTACCTTTCCAATCTTTTTTTTTTTCTTTGACCTATCGAAGGCCTTAGCTAGACTTTCCTGTGCATTTAAAACAGAAAACCAAACCCGCCAGGTGGTATGTGACCTTGGAAACCCAATGAAGGCTGGAACTCAAGTAAGATGATTTAGCTAAATGGATTTTATTTTCCTTTAAAGAAAATAGCAAAATGGGTTTGTTCATAGTAAATTTTTAATAAATATTTCAGAATAATATCTTTAAATTGGTTTTGATTTAGAATGTAATGATTAGCAGAGTTTTGTCCGGTTTTGAGTAAGATAATAAAATAATGGATTGTGCTGCTACACTGTAGTCAGTAAGCCGTGTTTACAGTGCCTTCAGTTTGCTAAATGGATGAGAACATGGGTTAATAACTAAGGACTCAAATTGTAACTCTGGTATTTTAACCTAATGGATCTTTAATTTTTTTTTTTTTTTTAATGCTTATTTATTTTTGAGACAATGCGAGAGACAGAGTGCAAGCAACGGAGGGGCAGACAGAGGGAGACACAAAATCTGAAGCAGGCTCCAGGCTCTGAGCTGTCAGCCCAGAGCCCGATGCGGGGCTCAAACTCATGAACTGTCAGATCATGACTTGAGCTGAAGTCGGATGCTTAACCGACTGAGCCACTCAGGCGCCCCCATAACCTAACGAATCTTTAGACCTACTCTGACAAATACTAAGACTGTCATTATTACGTGAGATAGAATTATCTCATGAATTTGGAAGCCTATATCTTTGAACTGAATAGAATCAAAGAGGCCCGTAGTGTTGGATCGGGCTCCCCTTGAAGTGGTAGAGAAGGGAGCCCAGGAGCTTGAAAAGATGCGCTCAATGGGTCGCTTCCCAAATGCTCTAAAAAGTAAACAAAAATGTGTCTTGTAGAATTCTTAGTATCAAAGGAAAATGGGAATGTATTTCATGTTACTTTTTCAATAGGATTTACTTTAATAGCACGAAGACTTTGGTAATTTGAGATCTCTGATAATATGGGGCTACATATTCCATATTTATCCTTAAACAACATCTAACAGGAGAGATGTTGTTTAAGGGTACAGACTTGCAACTAGTGGGAAATAAGTCTTAGAGATCTAATGCACAGCATAGCGAATATAAACAATATTGTATAAACAATGCTGGGTGGCTCAGTCAGTTAAGTGTCCAACTTTGGCTCAGGTCTTGATCTTGCAGGTTCACGAGTTCGAGCCCCGCATGGGGCTCTCTGCTGTCAGTGCAGAGCTTGCTTCCAGTCCTCTGTCTCCCTCTCTCTGTCCCTCCCCAACTCATGCACTCACTCTCTTTCTCAAAAATAAATAAACATTAAAAAAAATCAAAAAACCCAATATTGTATTATAATCATCAACCTTGCTAAGAGACTAGATCCTTATAACCATAAAATAGGAATGGGGGGGCGCCTGGGTGGCGCAGTCGGTTGAGCGTCCGACTTCAGCCAGGTCACGATCTCGCGGTCCGTGAGTTCGAGCCCCGCGTCAGGGTCTGGGCTGACGGCTCGGAGCCTGGAGCCTGTTTCCGATTCTGTGTCTCCCTCTCTCTCTGCCGCTCCCCCGTTCATGCTCTGTCTCTCTCTGTCCCAAAAATAAATAAATGTTAAAAAAAAAAAAAAATAGGAATGGGAATTATGGGACATGGAGAGATGCTAACTATAGCTACAGTGGCAATCATATTACAGTTTATAAATGTATCAAGTCAACATGTTGTACACCTTACATTTACACAATGTTATATGTCAAATATATTTCAATAAAAGTTCCACATTTCTTTAAGAATATTTAACATTAAAAGTCATTATTATTTCTAAATATATGGTCTCTTAGGGAAGACGCCTTGAACAAAGTACCCTGAGTTGCATTTTTCCACATGTATATAATGATGTTTAACAAGTGAAATGCTTTTTATTTTTCTTTGCTTATGTTTCTATGTTTATTTCTGTGCTTTCTGTGTTTATTTTTCTATGTTCTCACGCTCTCTGGCCTTCTCACTCACAGCTCATCCAGTGTGGATGAGTTCAGGTTATTTCAGGTGGCCAGCGTCAGGCTTTGTAAAGTGGAAGGCAGCTTGATGGAAGTCCCCCAGTCTTGTTTTTATGTATGATGACTGATTCCCTAAGAAGTCTGCTTTCTCTTACCTTATTAGCTCCTTTGTTTTCTTTAAGGTAACAGCTTCCCCCCTGCGAAACTTAGGATAATGGTTGCAATGGAGTTGTAAGAGAGGTGGGGAAATTCTGGGTCCGGCCCTGCCCCTCATGCCTTTGGTGGCCAGGTTTTCTTGCTCTTTAAAACCCATTCACTTCTTGCTTCCTGATCCATTACAAGTTCAGTTGTTAACTTCCTGTCACCAAATCAGTGTATTTTCATTGAATCAACAGATATTTACTTTGCATTTTTATGAAGTTAATATCAGGTATTATGAGGAGATAGAATTATGTTAATAATTGTTTAATAGGCTCCTTTGTGGATTGGCCCATGTATATGAAATAAAAGATTTAATAGAAGATCAGATTTAATTATCTTTGTTAGAGTACTTTCAGTTTTATTATAAGCTCAGAAAAACCGTATTTTAGAAAAACTCGTTGATTTGGACGTTGGAATTTAAATTTCACTGATGAGACATTGTTTTGATTAACGTTACTATCCCTTCCTCCCCCTCCAGCTCCTAGCTGGTCTTCGTTTCAATGTACACCAGCAATCAGAGATGGATACTTCTGTGAAATTTGATTTACAAATCCAAAGGTATGAAAACAACTTGTTTTCAGTTCATATTAACTATTGAGGAAATATTCTTTGTCATAAATATATTATGTAAGATATTCTAAATGTTAAGGAATAAAACTGGCTAAAATTCCAGTACTTGACTATACCATTTTTTAAATAAAATTCCTATAACAAGAATAATTTAGTTAGTTTTGAGCTTGTGAAACAAAAGTAAAAGAAGTAAAATTTGATCATCTTTTTGGAATTAAATGCTAATGAAAATTATTTTTGTACGTTTTTTTCTTTCTTTTAATTTGTTCGTTTTTAGTTTCACTGCATTTGCCCCTGTACGTCTTAGATAAAAATTATGCTCAGTTCAGGCCTAAATATATCTATATTTTTTTCTTTTTCAGCTCCAATCTCTTTGACAAAGTAAGCCCAGTTGTATCTTACAAGGTTGACCTCGCTGTCTTAGCTGCTGTTGAGATAAGAGGGTCAGTATGATTACCAAGTTGAGTGTCACATTCTTATGAGATTTAAACTGCCTTAAATTTCTTTTTATGTTTATTTATTTTTTGAGAGAGAGAGAGAGAGAGACAGAGACAGAGACAGAGCACAGCCGGGGAGGGGCAGAGAGAGTGAGAGACACAGAATCTGAAGAAGGCTCCCGGTTCTGAGCTCTCAGCACAGAGCCCTATGCGGGGCTCAAACCCCCGAACTGTGGGATCATGACCTGAGCTGAAGTCAGACACTTAAGCGACTTAGCCACCCAGGTGCCCCTAAACTGCTTTATTTTTTTTTATTTTTTTTATTTATTTTTTTTTTTTTCAAGTCTGAAGCAGCTGTTAACTTCTCTGTCACCAAATCGGTATTTATTGAATCAACAGATATTTACTTTGCATTTTATGCAAGTAATAGTCAGGCTATGTATGGAAAGATAAAGTATGTTAGTGTAAATTTTTATGCCCATTGTGAGCACATGATTGAAATAAGATTTAATAGAAGATCACGATTTAATATCTTTGTTAGTTAGGTACTTTCAGTTTTATTATAGCTCGGAAGAAAACGTATTTTAGAAAAAAACTGCGAGTGTGGCGTGCTGAATTTAAATTTCACTGATGAGACATTGTTTTGATTGAGCCAGTTGGACCCTTTCCCCCTCCATGGCTATGTAGCTGGCTCGAGCCGTTCAATGTACACCTCAGCAATCAGAATGGATACTTGTGAAATTTGATTTACAAATCCAAGTATGAAAACTGTTTTCAGTTCATATTAACTAATGTGAGGAAATATTCTTTGTCATAAATATATTATGTAAATTTAAATGTTGGAATGAAAAACTGGTTAAAATTCCAGCTACTTGACTATACCATTTTTTAAAAAAAATTCTATACATAAGAATAATTTAGTTGTTTGAGCTTGTGAAACAAAGTAAAAAAGAAAATTGATCATCTTTTGGATTAAATGTAATGAAAATTATTTTTGTCAACTTTTTTTCTTTCTTTTAATTTGTTAAGTTTTAGTTCACTGCATTTGCCTATGCGTCTTAGGATAAAAATTATGCTCAGTTCAGCACTCAAATATATCTATATATTTTTTTCTTTTTCAGCTCCAATCTCTTGGACAAAATGTACAGCCCAGTTGTATCTACACGGTTGACCTGCTTAGCTGTCTTAGTGCTTGAGATAAAGGTAGTATGATTACCAAGTTGAGTGTCTTTCATTCTTAATGAAGATTTAAACTTGCCTTGAATCTTTTTTTATGTTTATTTATTTTTTGGAGAGAGAAGAGAGAGACAAGATAGCAGACAGAGCAACGGGCAGGGGAACAGAGAGTGGAGACACAGAATCTGCGCCAGGTTCTGAGCTCAGCACAGAATGCCCATGTCGGAGGCCAAACCCCAGACAATGTGGGATCATGATGGAGCTGAGTACATGACTTAGCTGACTTAGCCACTAGGTGCCAACCGTTTTATTTTTTTATTTTTTTTTATTTATTTTTTTTTTTTTTTTTTTTTTTTAAAATTTTTTTTCAACATTTGAGTTTTTGGGACGAGAGAGACAACACATGAATGGGGGAGGGGCAGAGAGAGAGGAGACGAATCGGGAAGCAGGCTCCAGGCTCAGGAGCCATAGCCATGATGAGCAATCGATGCGGGACTCCGAACTCACGGGACCGCGAGATCGTGACCGGCTGGAAGTCCGGACGCTAACACTTGCGCCACCCAGGCACCCCCAACTGCTTTAAAATGCAGTTACTTTTCAAAAAACAACTAGGGGAAGAGTATTTCTTGGAGTCCAGCACTCATATTTCATGGATACTTTTACGTGAGCTGAGACTTGCTGAGAAAGAGGACCTGCTGGAGCTCTTCCAAGCCCAAATATTTACTTGGTAACCCTCGAAAATAAATCAGAATCTAATGGCAACAAGCAGGCACAAAAATAAGTGTATTGAACTTTGCATGATTGATTTATCAATACACCTGTTACAATTAGATTCAATACAGAAAAGTTTATGTGTAGTTGGATGTGCGTGTTCACATACATATAGCTTTTTCTTCCTTTTATTTTATTTATTTATTTATTTTTTAAATTTTTTTTTTCAACGTTTTTTATTTATTTTTGGGACAGAGAGAGACAGAGCATGAACAGGGGAGGGGCAGAGAGAGAGGAGACACAGAATCGGAAACAGGCTCCAGGCTCCAGTACCATCAGCCAGAGCTCTCCACGCGGGCTCGAACTCACGGACCGGCGAGATCGTGACCTGGCTGAAGTCGAAT